ATACTTCTTTTAAAGCACAGGTGTTCCTAAAAGTGCAGTTCTATGAAATATTTGTTGCAGGTGACAAATTCAGATTACAAATTCCAAACCTTCTGCTAAATATCCCTTCCCCACCCCGGAGTTGACTACCATCACCTTCGAATGTGAAACAGTAAAAGCTAAATTACTGGCGCTTCGTAAAATTTCATCCCCAGAAAAAGAGAAAATCCACCCACAGACTCTGAAATTCTTGGCTAATCACATGTATGAAATACTTGCTCATTTATACCACAGTACATTGGACAAGACAGTGATTTCTCAATTTTGGAAGCACTGTGTCATTTCACCGGTTTACACAAGTGGCTGTCGAAACGATCCCGCGAACTACCGACCAGTTACACCTCATGTTGTTGGGTTCAGTGTGATGGAATCAATTGTTGCTGACTCTCTGATTTAGCCCCTCGAGAACTATGACATTCGTTCAGCGGCCCAACAATGTTTTCGAAAAAGAAAACGGTTGTGCACCACAAAACCGTTACTTGTACCAGATGAGTGGACGAAATGAGTAGACTAAAGGGAGGCAGTAAACGTAGTCTATTTGGATTTCTCCAAAGTTTGTGATGCGGTTAACCATCGTATATGACTACAAAAGCTCCAAAACAACGGTGTTCTAGGACTGCTGCTTGACTAGATTGAGGAATATCTTTGACAATCCACCATACCACATTGAGTTACTGGTTCTCACACAGGACTAATTGAGGCTGTCCGTGGAGTTTCATAAGGATCGGTAATGAGTCCGCAACTTTTCCTTCCATTCACAAAAGACTTCCGAGATATCCTTGGGTAAAAGACAGTATTATTCGCTGACGACACCGAAACATGTAGAGCAAGAAAACATCTTACAGATCATGGAACACTACAGGCAACACTCGATGCAACTTTCTGATGGTCTGTAACTAAAACCAATAAATTCAAAGTTGAGAAATACAAGATTGTATTGTTGCGTCACCTAGGCCGCTTTCCATACCTACTTGGAAATCACTGATTACCGTGAGCTCCGAACGAATAGGAACCGAGGGTTATGGTTCTTGAGGATCTAGGATGTTCCACACATTGTTGGTAGAGCATCATCAAAGGCCCTAAAGCAAGTTGGATTTCTCAACCGTGCTAATGGATGAGTATACTTTAGACTATACACTGAGTACACAATGCAAGCTTGAAATCCACGGCTACTTCGCCAACAGAACTCAATCGACCGTACGCCGACAAAAGCAACCATAATGGACTGAAAATCCTCGGAATACATTCGTCTCGATACTGCCGGATACGGGAAGACATGATCCTCGGATGACAAATAATGCATCAACGTAACAACCTGTGCAGTATTCTACTATCCAGGAACTATCACCTCGAGGGATGTCCATTTGAACTGCTGCTCTCAAAGAGTCGGCTAAACTGCAAGAGTCACTCATTTCGTCTAAGTTGGTTATGCCTGAAAATCTGTTCCACTTNCCACTTCAAGTTCTTTGTGCTCCAAACATCGATTCATTCAATTCACAGTTGGATGAACTCCTGAAAAACCCTAACCTGCTCACCCCCCGAGAGTGAACATCATTATTGCATAAATAAACTACGGGGGTCAATAAGAATTCACTTTGTAATTAAACCATAATTTTTAACTTAAATTTGATCCGTAAATGCTGAAATAGGATAGTGTGAGTAAAACAATTGGTTTGATATCCTAACTGTTAAAAACTTCATCATTCATTATGCATCCAGTATATCTCACTTTCTTTACTCGAATCCCCGCTGGTTTGCATTCATCAAGGCGTTCCCCTAACGGTGAGTTTCGTTCCTGTCTGTTTTTGCATATATTTGCAAACCAGTTACGAACCGGTTTTGATGCCGAGGGTTTTCGGTCGCTCGAAGAACGCCACGCCCGACATTTCTCGGATCGAGCCTTTTCGTATTTTCACACCTGAAGAAACCGAGGACAACACAATTGACCTTGGTCCTGACCTGCGACCAACAGCACCTCATTCGGTTCACGTGCCTGTTGCGAATCCATGTTCTAAACCAAGTTGTACAAATTGGATAGCGTTCGGATAAAAAAGTGCACCGGTGAGCGAGAAATGTGCGTGATGTTAGCAGTCAGCTGTCAATTCCTGAGTTATTTTTTTCACATTGCATCAAACCAGAGTCTTCACGATTTTTGTTACATTGATTCAAAAGAAACCAAAAATGTGTGATCAGTCAGCATTTTTCTAAACGGAGAGAGAGGGGGGAGGGAGTTTGAATTCGATGACCCGATCACTTTTCCCACCGGGTTAATTTAAAAGACGCGTTGCATTGTCCATAATACGTTCAGGTTAATTATGTGTCTTATGTGATTTGAATATCAAATGCCAGCAGACAATTTCTCCCAGTGTCGCATCACTCTTCACGAGAGTTTCAATCGGTGAGGTTGTACAGTTGTGTACAGTTGTGTACTGTTGCTACAGTTGTGTACAGTTGCTTGAAATCGTGGATTGACCTTGATCTACGACCGAAGGATGACCCGTAACCATGTTAAATCTTCTGCAACTGTCATATCTGCTACAAGTTTCGAATCAGTCGACATAATCAACAAGTGTCCCTCGACAACAATCTTCCTTGAAACGCGTGTGTCAAAGACTGTGTACTATGCAAACGTTACACGGAGAAGACATTTCATATTTCATATCCTGTTTGAGAAACAGAACTACCAGGATGTGTAACGGAGATATGTTAAGCGATGAATACCAAAAACCGTGTAGAAAGTCTTTATCAGCTGTGGATTCTTTAGGGCAAACAAAGGAAAGGTTTACCAAAATGTGAGCAAAAAATGATGTGCATCTCTTTATAATTCAAGGATGAAACGTTGACGGAGAATCCGTATCAAAGGCTGTCACTTTCCGTCAAAATAATGTTCCAAATCATCAAGTAACCTACTCGGTTGATGCATGAGACGCTCGATTCCACTGAATCTTATCGTATATTCCAATCTACTCACCAGCGTTGTGTACAATAAATCGGTTGCATGACTGGTGGCTGTCCTGAGCACAATGAACTCTTCAGACCATTGTTCAATTTTCCCTGTAGTGGTATTTTGACTACTGTAGTTATTTAAGTAGTGTGTTAATAAATGGCAATATTCATTTCTGTGCCAAACGATGCTTACCCAAAAAGCACTAGTTCTAAACCCGGACGGGTCGATGTATATATACCACTTATGAGTTATAATGGGCAGTTAACTCGAATCTAGTGCTTTCGAATATATGGTTGATTGGACGAACTGGGGATTGATTGTGCGTGAATATCCAGAGCATGATCAAATCAAATCAATACTATCTTTCTGTTTTTCTGTGTTTATAAACGTAACTTTCTGTTTTGGTTTTTCCGCAACATATTATCACACGAGATTCTGTATCGCCAAGCTTTAATTTGACTGAGATTAATCAATCTAGTCGCGGGTTCGTTTAATTCAGTTCAATGTGTAATGATTAGTAATTGCTATGAAACCACGATTTACATAGAACCCTAGCAGACAGTGTTTCCAATGCCCACACACCCCGGGCCCTGTGCCTTAGACCGGCTTTGATGTTCTCACATTTATCGAGGCCGCAGCTAATTTATTTCTATATAACCACCGTTATTTTTGAATAAAATGAGCATACTAATGGTCGCCACGCACATCATTGACAATCATTTTAGTCAACAACCAGCCGTAATTAATCTTTCATAATAACCGTATAAATAAATTTTCACAAAGGTACACCAATAGAAAGTAGAATTTCTTTCACTAGGTGATTAGAGAATGGGCGGTGCATTGAACTACTAGTTGAACGAAAAACGCATCCGACGAAATTCTTGTCCAGGAGAGGTAAACTCCATTACTAGTTAGCATTCCCCTTGTTTTCTTTGAAAATTATACTGTCTTATTCAATTTTCTTCAAACTGTACTCTACAAAATTGGCTTCTCATTCAAACTGTTATCTAAACTTTTGATTGTGGAAAATTTGTATTTGGATACAATCCGCATGGTTACAAAATACACACACCCTGTTCGAAATGTGGTGAAAATTCTTCCCATTCGGCTAGTTGCGCTCGACAAAGTAATCGTCAAAAAAATGAAATGAAATACAATTTGGCTGCTACAAAAACGGGAACAATATTTACAGAATGACAGGGATAGAGATTTGGTCCTTATTGATTCTGAGTCCAATAAAGAAATCAGTAAATTCTCACCAGCCACACTGTAAAAAATTGTCACTTTGCAGTTCGTCTCTGTCACGTTGTGTAATATAATGTGAGGAGAAACTCAGTCACTGCAGGGGTATTCCCCATCAACGACAGCAAACTCTGACTATACTTTGCCTGTACATTTAAGCACTAATATTTTCAAAAATGCGTTTTTGTTGCACTAATTCATATCACAGCAAGTAACGAATCGGCTGAGAATACCAGACGATCGTTTGAAATTATCTCGCTTCCAGGTGTTGATGTCGCTACCCCACATGATCGGTAATTTTTTGAGAAGCTGTTTTTCAAGCGGTCAAGTGCGTAACGTTTTCTAGAGAGCACAAACCAGATTAAAAACAAATGGATAAACAGATTTGCTCTATGTAGCCAGGCGACTTGTTAGAAACAATCAAGAAATCAAAAAGATACTTTCAAGAATTCCATTTTAATATTCAAATACACAAATAAACCTAGTCCTGTAAGTTACATCGCATTGATCTGTCATTGATCTGTCCAACCCTAAAATGTTGTTGCACTCTGGCAGTCTGAAAACGCGCCAAAACGTTTCACCTCGAAACAAAGCCTACTGTAACCAATGTCAGTAGTCAAAATATTTAAGGGAATTGAACAATCAGTATGGAAGCATTGTGGGAAGTGGCATTGACGTTTGTCATTTGGTGAAAGATAATCAAGCTGGGAATCCATTTGATACAAACTTTGTAGCATTTGCGGAAATCAGATGAAAAGGGGCATTTCAGAATTCGCTCCCGGGTTTTTCAAGTTCTCCAGTAGTTCTTCAGACATGGCCAACATCTGAATTGAAAGAAAACACATATACGTACACGAGATACTGAGTATTATGACTTCTAATTAAATCAACGGAAAACTTTCTTAAGTACCACCGATCATTCCCGAACATGTAAAGTCACAAAAGCCGATGATTAGTTAAACAAACAGGATTCACACGTGTTTCTTACAGGAGGACATGATTGGCTTGAAGCGTAAATTGAGTAACAGTTTATTTTACCGAGCCGAAATCAACTACAATTATAGTTATGCATATTGAGTTCTGTGTTAATAAGATTTTATATTTTTCCCCTTTTACACGAAGGATACGTTGATAAAGGATATCCTTGAAGCGAAAGGCAATTTTTGACAATGACAAATATTCAACTTTGACGGAGAGAAAAGCACTGGTGTACATCATCGATCGATCGATTGACTGGAAAAACTGGTGGCGTTAAGACGGGTCCATTCACGTGACATAATTCGATAGGCCAGCGGTGCAGTTATCCGCAANACAACGTGAGTGTGATCTCAATGCCGGATGAGCGCCTATGTCGCTAATATACTTGTCAGCTCCCAATCGTGAGGATCATGCTTTCAACCAATGTTGCTGAAGGAACTCATTTATTGAGTGCTCCAAGTCAAGTGAATGAGATCACTGATCAAAACTAGTGAACAAAAGAGTGTGTTCTCCTTTTGTTCCGTAATAACGTNNGTTGAATGCATGAGTTCGCTATCCCAGACTTGGAGTCGAAGTAGTAAACTACTAATCATTCAGATAGCACCATATCAGATCAAACGGCAGGAATCATACCTACAAAGACTTCCAAGCACTTTCTACCGTATCTTTTTTCCATTTTGGCAGTTGAAAACCTTTGTAAAAATATCCCCTGTACTTTGATTTACATATCATGACTTGTCTTAGCAGCTTTCCATCAATACCGTAAACTTTAAATGCACGACAGTTTAATCTCCAAAACGTTAACGGCAATGGGATATTTTTTATTATTATATCGTTTCACTTGTTTATTTAAACTAATTTGAAAGTGAATTCGATTATCAGGATAGCAAATGTAGACGGTTCAACGCTGTCCGTGACTAAATAGCAACACAAGCCCTGGGTAACCTTGATAGAACTCAAGAACTACTAGACAATGAATGAATGACCTGTTCTATTGATACATCTGGTATCTGTCTACTGCCTTCAAGGTCGATGTCGAGTTCATTTGATTCCTGGAGTTCAGCCACATCATGAAAATGTTATTGAGATCGGAATAAGCTTATGCACAGGATTATCAATTAGTTTAGATAAAGGTTTGCTCAGTTTACAATTAGTGACACTAAGATCGATTGATCATGACAAATCTAACTTAGCAAGGCAAAAAGCGGTATTGAAAAGAAATCCAAATATAGGTACTAATTTTTGTGTGAAAAATCAATGCGTATATACAATTTGAGATGCTATCACATCCGGGAAACCTACCTCAATGATCACACGCGTTAGACGTGCATAACGTTCGCGGGATCTGATGGGCGTGCTTAAGGGCCAACGTTTCTTACGTATCAGTTCTTCCTCCTTCAGTTTGCTAGAGAACAAATCTGGTGGATCGAGCATTTTCTCGACAAGCTTGATTTGCTGTTTTGTGTCTTGAATCAATAAACGTAGGTGAGCTAATCTTTGTCTGAGAAACGAAGGGTGAGTCGAATGCAAGGGAATCAATTAATTAGCCACGCGGAAGACCAGGTGATGAGTTACTTAATAAGATGATCAAACAACACAACGTGTATCACAGTTCCGGATCTGGGGTTTAATTTATTTATCCAATTTAAGTAGCTACTGAATTATTCCTGTCATCGTCCACAGTTAAATCCTGAAAATTCGTTGATCTCTTTGCCGCATTTCACTGACAGTTACTTGTGATTAGTGCTTTGCGACTCATTAGATTTAACCATCCTTCAAACTTCAACCGAACGCGCTTCCAGTCAATCATTCACTCGGAAGCACTGGAATGGAGGTTCTATATTATTAGAGCTAATTTGGTGGGAGGCTTTCGATTGGAGTTAGCATAATGTCAACTGTGTCTCCCGCAGTTCCTGTGGGACCAACAATGAACTGACTGACTAATACTGAAAACAACACCGGGAACAAACATGAATTGGCAATTCGGTTCAGCCCTGGAATGAGCTGGTTGGCACAGTCGTAACACACACGTATCTCATGCAGTTGGTCCGGAATTCTAAGACCGAACGGGACGCTGGATATGTACTGCTGATAAGCTCTAATAATAACGAAACTCCAGTCTATTGCATCTGAGTGTATGGTTGACTGGATGAACTGAGGATTGTGCGCGTCAAGGTCGAGTCTCAAAACGGTCGGTTCCGGTCTGTCAGTGATCTCTATGTTTCATCGCAGAATGAAGCTTTACAATGACCAGCGATTAGGACTGTTTTCAATTCATAGGTGTAAAATGGCTTTAACTCATTTCATCCTTAGTAGTAGGATGATTTCCAAGTTTGGTTGGTTTTTAGAGACGGAAGGTGCTATATCACGACCTGCGGAAGCGATCCGATCGCTAATCTCCCGTGTTTCTCGATAGCCCGGTATGAATAAGAAAAAACAACTGGTTAGTCAAGGGGAAATATATTGTTCCCTGAAAGTATCAGAGTTTAGCTCGACTACACTCGAGAGTATTTTAAAGCGAAATGCTTAGCAAGCGAAGGTGTAGCACTAAACTCACGCATCGTTTCAAGCGAAGTTGCTTCACCTGAGATGACAGTGACTTAAACAAAGATGGATGACCTAGCTGAAGAAGCGGTCTCAGGATATCTGAGAACCTGGCGGAATTTATGCTACGAAGGAGAAGGATGCACGATCCATGATCTAAGTAGCCATGTAAAAGCATACATGCGGAACAGGCAACTCTCGAGCATGTTATACTGTCGGTCTCAAGCCACTACAGGTTTGTCTTGACGGGCATGTAAAAGTAGGGTGGTTTGGAACCAACGTCCTATTGATTCTTCCCTTACAAACTGGTAACCAATTTAACCAGGGAAAAAGAAACTGCTCACTACTTGTCAAATCGACGGACACGTGATTAGACTCGCAATTTTGGTGTAAAATTATTTTCCTTTGGCAAATGTGGGCTTCGTCAGTCTACGAAAAAAGAGGTAGAAACAATAAACAGTTAATCCTCTTTAACTATGCGCACAAATTTATTGGTTGTTCGTGGCCTGATGAGTTCGCATCCGAGCACGTATGCAGTCGATACAAACTAGCACAGGTTTGTCACTTGCTCATATACATTGTAGCCTGAAACAAGTCACTTACAACTGAGCAGATGATAACTGCGCCTGGTGAGCCTCGTAGAATTGGTTTGCGTCATCCACAAGCCTTTCAGACTTCTTTTCACATCCCTTTAGTATGTCCTTCATTATTCGTACATAGGTCATTAGTGAGCCCTGTGAAATTATAGGGGAGGGGGGATGAAATGAGTTCCGTATAAACGAAGTGAAGAACAAGTATAATCACGATACAACTGATTAAAAGTTATTTCATTTTTTATTCAGTCGCTCACCGTATGCACATCTGGTAAGTATGAGTTGTATATAACTATCCTTACCAAATAGACACATGTGATGTGGATGTACCATTTGTTTGTACAGACCATAATTACGGACACATTCATATACGTAGCCACTGTTGTGGCGGAACAGTTTGTGGATTATTCACTAAGATCTTCCGGATTCCTAACTCAAAGGGTACCGGTTCAACAACCGGTAGGGAAACGGTAATATTGTGTCTTGATCTTGATTGGAGCATAGATCATAATACGTGATCAAACATAGTTTCCACAATTAGTTTTGAACATGTTGGTTTGACGGAATTGTTTTTAAAATGTAATCATCCCGGTTCAAACCGAATTGGACAAGCATGGTGAATTGTAATGCACTAACCAGCTCGATAGGTTCATCTAACAGGCGAGTATGGCTTACTTGTCGGACAAATGTGGATACTTTCGGATCTTCATGTTCCTTCCACAATGCTTGTTCCAATTCCGCTACTTTGTTCCAGTCCAGTTGTCCGTCAGGCATCGATTCCAAATCTCCAAGCGATGTCTGTGTAAACCATCAAAACTAATCGAACTTAGAAATGGAGTTGTACCCAGAACCAGTATTGTAATCGCATTTTTAACAAAAAGAATTGAAAGAAACTCAAGTGAAAAATTTCCTTGCAAAATCTCTATCCGCATTTGACAAGCCAGCAACTCTTACTGTTATTCAAATGGGAAATTGATTTGTTCAATCACCGAAAAATGACGCAAAATGTTCTGCAAGCATCACCAAGACACGTGACACAGTGAATTCGACTCATATTCTTTCACGGTAGGCATAGATCACCTGACCTTAGACAAGCCAGTTCTTTTTCACGTATTAAACATGTTCACTTTGTGAGCTGGGGACACGTAATTCTGTAAATTCTTTTAGAGCAGAAACTCAACCTCAAGTCCACATTACTAACAACATCGTTTTTTTTGCACCTGATCAACTCAGTCCCGGAGCATGCCATACACAATAGGATTCAGCTTCCAACCGAATACTTGAATATCGATAGGCATGCACAGAGGTTATTTATACAGAACTTTATCTCACACGACACTGTTTTTAATTCCCGCGCAGCATTATTGGAGTTGATAGTTGCGAACCAGCCGCGAATAAACAAGAAAATAATCGGTTTATTGCCACCTCGATCCTTCTTACAGGTGTTTGCTGTTCCATGAAATATTTATTTTCTGATCAATTGAGGTCTTCTGCTTCTAGATCTTCCTACAAGACTAAGTAAACATATCGGTAATTGGTACCTCATCAACACAATTCACTCAAATGTTATGCATCTTAGGACTGCTCGCGTAAAATCACTGTTCATGAACGAGAAAATTGCCATTCAAATACCGTCTTTAAGAACACAGTAGATCAAACGAATCAATTTCACTGAAAATGAAATTGTGAAATTGTCCCTTCTGAGGAGTTTAATCTGACGTAAATGCTCGGTACCTTGTCATTAAGCTCCACTTATGGTAATATGAATTGTGCTAAATGCGTTCTCCTATTCATGCAAGTTGTCAGTGAATGCGACGCCCACAACGCTTTCGAATAATCCAATAATCAATCAATCAATCAATCAATCAATAATCAATCCAATAATCAAGATAGAGCTCATTGTCATGTCACCTACGAGGCTTGCCGTGGCAATATATGTAAATCTTACATTGATACAGTATCCTTATCAGTACGTTCCAAAGTCAAGTTCATGTGGTTATTGATCAACAGCTGGATCTGGAGGTGATTGAAATTGTGTCCTTCGTATTAAAGACAGATAAGGCATCTACCCCGAGTATGACCATTCAGTACCAGCGGGTGATACGCACGAGTGAAAACAAACAACGCAATTTGAGCTCTAACCACATACCTGAAAGCCTGATCCAAGTGCTCAAGAGTGAACTAGGGTGGAGAGGACTTTCGAAGAATCAAATCACAGCGTCTGCAATAGGCATGTCGGTCATTTTCACAAATAGATTCTTACTACTTTTATCTAATAATGATTGGTTATTTCTTAAAACGGAAGGAACTTGATGTCAACGAAATCGACAAATTGTAAGCTAATAGTTTAGTTGATTGGAGAACGCAACAAAACAAGTAGATGATTTCATTGAGTTACTTCAGTGTAGTACCTGGGTGTCGGCATTGACAGTAATATCCGGTGGTCTACCCACATTTACAGATATGTAAACTTAGACGATTCTTAACGCCACAGTCAATCCCGTGGTGCTCTGTAGTTCACCAATACCTTCCCTATTCTAGTCTATGGTCCGCTTTAGTATGTCCCGGCCTTTAACAACTAGACTTCAAAATCATCCATCGTAGTTTATTAATAATCAGTTGTGCATCATTTATCTCAAGCAATTCATTAATCACAAAAATCTTCGATGATCACATCAATTATTGTGTTAAATTTGCCAATAAAACTCTAGATGGCCCCTTCCATGAACTGAATTCCGGTCTATTATTTTGTTGTTTTCATCCGTCTACAGGCTTCTCATTTTGGAACTTACCCTTATAAAAATTCTTATATCTGGCCCAAGTCCTAACCAAAAAAAAGAAAACGTCGCAAGTGAATCACTTCAGAATTTGTTTACATGTAACAAATTTCAGCGTCATTCTTCACTTTGCATGTTATATGAAACTGTATATATGTTATTCCAGTACATTTTTAACCCGAATGTAAGCATACGTGGATGCCTGAAATGATGTGGAATGATTGTAGTTCGGGATGCGGATATTGGTGTTGGTGAGTTCTCGGAGCTGGAAGTGTGTTGTTCGCAGACGTTTCCTAGCCAACCTAGGCAACATCATCGGTACCCGAAGTCGCGCCGATTATGTTGACTAGCTTGGCGATGAAATGTCTGCGAACAACACTTCCAGCTCGGAGAACTCACCAACACCAACATAAGTGGATGCCGTTGTAGAAATAGCGTGTGGGATATGTGGTCATGCGGCATGCATGCAAGAGCATGAGCGGCTCAGCGCTTTGGATTTTTATCGGAAGAATCACAATGTCACGTAATTTCTTCAACATCTATACATGAGTTTTATCACTATTTGTCGCCTAACTAGAGTGAGCACAAAACTCTCAGTCAAAGCACTTCAACTATTCTGATTTTCACATGATCTAGACAGTGACCCAGGTTAGAACCGTCGGAAATTGTACATAACCAAGTCACGGAAAAAGCAAAAATGCGGCACTGATTTAACCCGTAAGCCTCCGCCTTTCTTGAACGACTTTCTGGGATGAGTTGGTTTTCATCTTTTGTTTTGTAAGCCGTTTTACCATCCAGTCTATGAGTATTTTTTCCGCTTCAGTGGGCAGCCGGTTTTGTACGTAAACCTACAGATCATTCTGAACGTCTTGGAAGGAAATGGATACCACATAGTTGATGCTCGTGGCATTGTGACTACTCAACTTAGCATCTCGTTCTTTCCAACGCGTTATTGATCCGAAGAGCTTTTGAAATCCGAAATCGTCAGTGGGAATGTCTTGAAGAACATCCACATGGAATCACTTACCAAATAGCTTTCTGACATTGAATCTTCCAAAGTTTTTGCTCTAATAGCAGCATCCTCGCCACCAACATCCACATATTCACCGGTAGCTTTGAACAGTATGCTTCGATGCGTGTGCCCGGGCAGGGAGTGACGATGGTCACTTCTTGAATTCCTCGGTATTTCACTAGTATATGATCGATTCACCTCGCATCGACTATCCGAATAAACACCGATGGTGCTGGATGCCGAGGATACCGAATTTAGAATATCTTTCAGGGGCAATTCGACAGTCAGTGTCAAACTGGTCAAGTCCGATTGACCACTTATCTGATGCACTATCGGTTTCCTGTTCACCTCGGCCTTCCATGTTCCCGAGTGACTTTTGTCCGAAAGGTTCACCGATGACGTCATCTGTACAAAACAAATGAGAGCAAAGGTGGATATATATACATACATAAATGTATATATAAGCAAATACACATTGGATAAAAATAAGCACAATCGAGAGTTGGTCATGTTGATATTTATATTCGATTTAAGCATGAGTCCGCTCAGCTCATGCCATTAAGTTTCAATGGAAGTACATGGTGAACTTCACATGTGATAGGGTGAGTCAACCACTGAATCGATATAACTGAACAACACTCTAATTCCCGACCGAAATTTACGGGCAACATATGTGCCACATGCGGGCCAGGTGAGGTGGTGCATAGATTGCAGGCATTGAAAAACTGAGTGCGTAGAAGGATAAAACGAGGCTAGATTCCCGTTCACAAGAGATCCCCAGGGGTCAAAAACTTTACAAACAAACTTCACACAGCAGAATGAATCGTGATTGATGAGTTTTTTTCAGATCGCATTAGCCTGTGCTGAAGGTAAAACAACATGCCTTTCGATCGATGAACTAAGAACGTAACACTTTTGTTCAAAAGTCATCGGAAACACATAAGAAATTTAATCACTTTCTGGGAAATAACTATGTTAGATCTATTCACAACACTTTTCTCCATTATTATTTCGAAGTACTCGATGGAGTTCATGTTGTATTCCAATACTAACAATCTCTTTATTGCGTTTTCAACCAAAACATTTCAGTTTATTAGTCAAACTCTGGAATTCTTTTAGATGACGCTAGGTGTTTGCATTCAAATGTCAAATGCATCTCACCAGTTTTATTCAAATCCACAGTCACTGACCCTATTAACTTCTGCCCGACTCGGGTACCGAGAGAACCGAGAGAAACCTTAGTTGAGCATACTGAAGAATCAAACAAAATGATGTCTTACAATGTTTGGTGTGGTTCAAAGTCTTTTCGAATGGCTGAAATTTTGCAAAGCAGATCAATCAAATAACCGAATCATATTTTTCATTCGTCTAACTGGTCGACAACTGCACATTGATGGCTAAAACCGTGAGACGAAAATGGACCTTTATCCTAGCTGGGCGCATTTGATTTTGAATGTGTTTATCTGAACCTGTGGGGAGCTTCGATTGTATTGCACAGAGCCTTTCTTTCCAAAGCTATCCGATGATATTCCTGTCTGGTCGGTGAGCTTAGACACTACTAATGAGATCCAAAAAGCACGAAACTCGAGTCTGGTGTGTTCATAGTTAACTAGGCGACTTAATAACTGCATATAAAGCTGAATTTTAAGAAATACTAGGTGAAAATCCTTATCAATCAATTCGAGACCGCTAAATCAGATTTCCACGCAACAATATCACATCACTTTAGTACTTAACTGAAAAAAAAAAAACAGTCCTAATTCAGTAGATGAAATAGTGGTGATGGTGGTGGAGGTGATGATAAGGCGGCTTCACTTGCTTTTATTGGCATGCGCTTACGGCCCCCTGGAATTTGATATTCAAATCCCACCACCGTGGCCGAACGTTTTGATATCTTCCAACTCAAGGCTATGCCGAACCTAGTAAGGTCTTATGTGGTTCGCCACTCCAAGCAAGCAGCAGTTTCTCACGACTACGGAGTTTACTCTCTCCCCTTTTCGACCATCCGTATCACCACGCACTACTCCCCAGTACATCATGCTAGCACATTAATGTCAAACGTTGTTTCATCATTGACTCGGTTCGATTGGAAGGAAGTGAACTGTTCGGAATGCGTACATAGACATATTATCGTTGACTGTACAAACAGATGTGGAATTTTAAACGGACAAAGGAACAAGATGAGCACCATGAACTAAAAAAACAAATAGTANCCATAAGCTAACTTCAAATCCAAAAACCGTTTTAAGGAAGGATAGAAAAACTGCAGCCAATGTCGACCACTTTGGATTTTAAAAGAAACAAGTAAGCAGACTGTAAAACGGTTAGAGGTAAATTTCAAAACCCTAATGGCATAATCGAAAATAAAATTGCACCTAAAAGTCGCAATTTGGAACCCATAGATGTGTGACACAATCCCTTTATTTTTATATGTCTTCTCCGAGCATAACGGACCTTAGATCGTAGTTACACAATAGCGATAAGGGTATATGATAGATACTTCAGGCAAGTATGAGCAATGGTTTATCCAGAATCTCAACCTCACATAATCTATGAGTCTGTAAAGTAAATTCGGTTAGATTTGAGCACCGTTCCAGGCAAAACCCGGTACTGTTTGTGTCTGACCAAATTAGGGACACGTTTGTCCCACACTTGTTTTTCTACGACCAAATCCATGAACGCGGAACTCACAATTTTCAGACATTCTGTCACGTGTTTTCTCAGCGCGGCCGCAGTGCTTGTCTCCTTGTGTTCCGTCCCGTGCCGAGCAATTTGCTCATTCAATTTCTCCATCAATTCCTTTCCCACATGGGGATCGGTAATTTTGGCCACAGCCGGATCACAATGACATTTCGGTGCCTGGGCTGATTCGTTTTCGGATAAAATATGTCTCAGTGTATGTTCATTCTGGCAAAAGAACATCAAAAACGGCATTCGAATAATTGATGTGATGAAGTATATTTTGTATGTATATTTGTGCTCAAGCTTTAGCGACTTATATATACAAGCTTTCAGTCAGAAAATAGACCACCGTCACAATTATGGTAAAAACTGGGGAAAAATTGGGATGTGAAACGTACAAAATGTGATTTAAATACTAAATACACTGGAAAGCTCAGAACGAACACTTTCCTTGTCGGTCAGTATCCGGGCAAGATGGGGTACCAAAGAATTTCTGTATGCGGATATGCGAGACGGAATAAGTTTGTACTTGGAACGGGTGGAGGGGCGGGATTCGCATGCACACAGGTCAGTGTGTAGAGGATGGGTGCAACCAGATAGGATTTTGTCAGCAAACTTGAAACATGCATCAATATGAGCGTTATACATATTATCAATCAAAACAGATAATGGAACTTGGGAGCCAAGGCTGATCATTTAAAGTCTACGCCTCAGCAATTCAAAATCAGCCTTCAGCAAACCAGGAAAAATTACAGGAGAGCAGTAAAAGGGTATAGGGAGGACACATTTTTGAACGAAAGCGTTTACCACTGACAAGTTAGAACAGAATTGGCCCAGTCTTCTTATCTGAAAAGAGAGACTTTTCAACTTGAGAGTAACAGTTTGAATATGTAAGGACCAACAAAGGTTATTTTCAAGTGTGACACCTAAGTGCTTCACATGAATGACCCTGTTCATCGGCTTTCCACGAATCTGAACATTGTCGGAGGGAGATGGGGAACGATTTAGAGTAAAAATACCTTCAAGGCATCTTTCAAGATTAAGATTAAGACCGGAAACAGTGGAATATGAAACGTGATGGGATAGGTTTGTGTAATATTCAACCAGTTCTGATGGGTTAGATATGGGAACGGACCACGGAGAGCGAAAGATAGACAGACAGACAGATAGACAGACAGACAGCCAGAGCTTACCGAATGGGCTTTGGAAATGGAATCATGTGGAGTGGTGTGTCCGGATAGGGTTTGCGATAAGCTCTCGTTTGTAGCCTGACTATCACTGGTCACTGATATGTGTGATCGTGCAGCTAAATTATCAGACAAGTGTAATGATACAATTAGTAAGTGCAAGACCAACATTAGTGGGAAAAAGTACAACCACAGGTACAATAGAAACAGACTTACGATTTAGCGAATGCTCCTCGGTTGACATCGTGCTCTTCCTGGCACAGTGAATTCGAGTGACAGAGACTATTCCGAATATCCTATATATTTGGTGGACTTTGACAATGAAATTCAGACTTTGGTCAATGAGCGCGACAACAACAAAGCGATCAAAACAGACGAGAATATATGCACATCGAGACCGGGGGTTTCTTCTGAATATCGATCGATCCACTCACACACACACACACATTATGTTCCTGTGCATCCATGGAACTCATCTTGATTTCGAAAGAGAAAAATCGAATTGTGCGACACTCGGTTGTGTGCGTGCGTGCGTTTATGCATGCGTGGGGCTGGTGGTTTGCTTTGGTTCAGTTCAGTTTGGTTCGTTCGATCTGGATCAGCCCGGATTTTCCTTCAAATGGTCAGATCTCAAAAAACTGAATTCACTGACAAATTGCCCTAGAAATTTCATGCGCGAACAGTGGAAATCGATGATGGTCGTGATAGGAGTGGATATGTCTATCATATAGTTATGTATCTCAATTTTTTCTATCATTCCACAGGGTATGACTCTATTTTATCTCGGTTTTACAGTAAAAGGTTCGAAAACCCCAATGGTAGGAGTGTAATTTCACGAAACTAGACTGATTTGCCTTTTTTGTCTCAAATGAATCGGTCTAGTGAATTCCCATGGAATTCATTTCTTCTGATGAATATTGAATCATCAACAACTGACGCAACCTACGACGATCACCTAGCGAAAAACCCACACCCAGGACTTGTAAGCATTTGATGCACGTTCATGGGACTGACTACTCGCTCGGTAGTGTAAGCCCTCCCCCCTCAGCCCGACACCGGAAAGGGGAACAGTGAGTATATCCAGTTACAATCATTGCATTATGTTTCTGTTGGGATTTGGGAATATGTAACAAAGCTGTTTAAGCAGTCCGAATATGAGTCTGTTAGGCACATGGGCAGACTGCTGTAGTCAAACGCGGTTGGCTTTCTTCCCAGAGCTCTATCTCAAATAACGAATCTGGTTGAAAGATGTCGGAAACAACAGCGCTGACACACGTTGGCGAAGGTCACGGATCAGAGCAAACCGAAGATACAAGCAGAATCAGTGTGGTTGCGGATGCCCGCCAGGAATTCAAGTGGTATTAGACAGGTTGACCATCAATCGACAAGAGACCGTTTATTGCAGTCTTGGTGCTCTCTCGACCGCAACTGCAAGCAAAACATGGCTGAGATGTTGTGGTTGATTTGTTTATTTATTACAAGAATATATAGGGAATGGAGAAGCAACTGGGAATTTTGAATTTATATTGATCGGATAGGATGGGACTGGTAAAATTCTATTCGGTAAAAGCGGATGGATTGACGATAGAACCGGGTGTGGTCGTCCAAAACCGTCCACCGGCATAACTGTGCTACTAAAGGTTTCAGAAATGTAATCACTGATGTGCCCGAACGTGAGACACTTTATTTTATTCAAGCAATTGCGAAAATTACGAGAGTATTAGTCTCGTTGATATTGCGGCCAAATTGTTTGTAGTGATACCGCATAATCGCTTCGCTATCGTCAGAGATACCCGCATTCGCGCGAATCAAGGGAGGATCGTGGTGGAAAAGTCTGTGTTGAACAAATCTTCATTCTCTGTAGGATTCTGGAACACCGCTAAAAGTTACAACAGCCTACCACTGCATGGTTCATTGGCTTCGGTACCTCGTCTGACTCTGTCGATAGAGAATCCTTGTGGTGCACATTGCGGTCCGACGGGATGCCTGAGAAGTTTATCAGGCTTTTAAAGTTATACTACTCATCACCCCGGGCACGCGTTCATATCTACAGAGAAGAATTGGCTGAGTTTCCCCTAGGCTCTGGAGTCAGGCAAGGTTGAACCCTATTGCCGGTGTTAGTCAATTACCGTATAATTGGACAATGCGATAAGCAATCATCGACTAACCCGGAGTACAGCTTGGCCCAGGTACATGGATCGCTGACCTCAAGTTTGCGGATGATGTCGTTGTACTTGGAGACACTATAAACAACCTCCAGCCTGTTGTCGATTGTATAAATCAGTTTCTCCAGGCCATTGGGCTAGAGAGTAACACATCGAAAACGAAGACATATTCGACTGAAACTTCTGCCATGACATAATACCTCTCGATTAACGGAGAGCTTATCAAATCAACCGAAGATTTCAATTATCTTGCCTCTACGGTAGGACAAACGGCCAGGTTAAAGATGAAATCCAACTCCGTGTGGATGGAGCTAGAAGAGCCTTCGTACAACTCCTCCAATCGTTGTGGAGTCAATGCGAACTAATCTTAAACACTAAGCTTCGGATTTACTTGGCTTCCATTCGCCCCGTCCTCACTTATGTTTGTGAAATCTGGCCCCTAAGAGTACAAGATGCAAAGAAGCTCGAGGTCTTTGATCATTGGTGCTTACGCCGCGTCTCGAAAGTAAATCAGAGAGGTTGGATTTCCAATGCTGAGGTTCCACGGTGCTGCTCAAACATTGACAAGATCTCGAATACCCGATACCTAATTCTCGCGATACGCTGTAGCCCTCGTTCCATGCCGTGGATGGCGTTACCGACTCGGTGGTCAACTGAAGACTAGGAGCAGTACGACCAAAGCGAATTTGGATTTGCTCAGCCTCCAATCCGTATATGCAATTCGTAACTGGAACCAGAACCGGGTTTCACACTGCGTCAACCTTGCTACCGATCGTCATGAATGGGCCGCCATCATTAGAGACATCCAAGGAACCGACTTATCTTCCGGCATTCCATTCTACTAAAGTCCATTAGTTTTGCACAAAATTTGTTCTTTGAAGTACTGTGTTTTTCGGGACGACGCAATACTCAGCTACAATAGTACAGCATAAAAATGAGGTTCTTTCATGTCGCACGGATCTGAGTTACTACCAAAGGGATATATCCAAATGTTAACCGAAGTCGTGCATCACCCTTAGCATTTGTTCCTTTAAACGTTTAGTTTTTCTCAGCCCTATTTAAGAGGTTAAATACGATATTGCTCCACAAGAGACGCAACATATTCGGGATAATATCCATCCATATCTTTGCTTCTGTTAGTTGAATGCCAATAAAATGTAGGATTTCTCGATTTCGACGACGATTACCACTGCATTGTTTGCAGTAAAAATATAACTAGAATTTATTTATCTAAATAACTTATAGAATTTGTACGGGTGTTGTCATTTATTTTCGTCCGTGTTCCATTTACCCTTGAGCATTTTTTAGTCTTGAAAACAGTTACTTTGCATGGAATCCACCAAGTTGACCATCCAACAGAATTTTCCACTTTTATCTGTTATATGTCTCACCCTGACCACTGACAATGAATCTAGAGGTAGTTAACTTATCCCTGTTTATAACACAGGGAGACGTTTTTGAATATATATTCAAATCTCAACTGCTGGGTATTAATTAATTGCATTTGACCTTGGTCTTGATCTATCGAGAAACTGCTTAAATGAGAAAAAAAAATGTTTAATGAGACCTAACTGTTTCGTACTACCAACTTCAAGCAAGAAGATACAGTAACCTTCATCTGGTTCAGGAGAACGGACTTCAATTTTCCCGGCAATACCATATAAATGACAGAAACGTATAATACTAGTCTGGTAAGTCAGTGCAATAAAATGTTTCATTTTTCATCCTCGTATGCGTTTATATCACTCGTATGTTTAAAAAACTTGTATTTCAGGCGAATAAACGTGCTACCTACCACCGGTGATAAGTGCAACTGAGGGAGGGAAAACAGGTTTTGTTAAACAGATTACGGAGAGCTGCCGTTTTGTTTGAACTGGTCAACAGCATCTGCATGGAGGCGATTTGAATTGACGCATGGAAGAGGCCTAGGCTTTGTACATCGTACGCTCCACCAGCGTGGCTACAATGCAGCACTGATTTTTCACATGGTAGATATCCGCCCAACTTATGCCATCTACCCGTTGGCATTTAAGCATACTATCACCTACCGGATTTTCTTTGAATCTACCAGAGTCCACCCAATGAACTTCCAAGGTAATGATGGAGCACGTACCGTGCACAAGTTTGGGTTCAAATCCTACCTAATTTTCTAACCATTCTACGACTGAAAAAGGGGACGTTAGATGAATCGCTCGAGAGAAGGCTGGATTAAGCTTATATTATAAACCGTAGCCAGTACGTGAGCCCGTATCAACCAGTATGCGGATCACCAAAAGATAGGAAAGTTAATGATTTAAGGAATTGCGTAGTAGTCAGGGAACAGTTTGTTTGAGAATGGAATCACAAAACATGAACTTGCCAAAATTTTCTAAAGCAATGTTTTCACAGGTAGTCCCACAAAACTGTTAGTTTTTCTCTAGGGAAGTGCGAAGTTCCAGTTTGTAGATCATCAAAGAGCTCTGAACAACTGGTTCATTTTTGTTGGGACTGAACAGCAGTGTGCGCTCGCCTGGACTCGAACTACAAACATTCGCTTGGGAACGCATACGGTTGACGAACAACACTTGAACCAAATAACTGCTCTGATTGATAAGTATGTGGTTGGTTCCGCCCAATCAGTGCCACCTGCTTTGGCGCGCTCACACAGGTGAGTTCCAACACGAACAAAGTGTCCATCCAGTACTATCCTCTCTCGGTGGTTTCACACAAAAGGTTTCACTCGCACGTAAAATTCATTCATTGTGTGGGAAAAGTAGACCATATCGATTTGTTAGTATCTGTGATTTGCAGTGGGTTCATTAAAATGTAGCATTTGGTGGACTGCTGGATGAGGTCTAGCGGCTGATACAAGTTAAATTAGAGTTATACTCATGGTTCCGTTTAGCCCGTTTGCAATAAAATCACGAGCAAAACAAGTTGTAATAAAGTTCATGATTTAGTCTTCCGCTAATCACGCTGAGAAACAGTAGCAAATCACGTCCTGGTGGATGATTCTCCTTCAGTAACCTTCTTCCAACTGGGAACCCACCTTGACTCCTATTGTCCCNCACCAACCCCCCCACCCCCCGTGAACTCTCATGCTACTACACCCTGGTCCCTCGACCTCTCTCGCCTTTCTTAGCCCTGTATTTCATTCCCTCAAAACCATTTTTCCTGTCAAGTTTAAACAGTGTATGCTCTTTTGTTGTCACTACTGTTCTCGCTGCTGACCTAATGTATCGTGTCAAGACCGAAAGAAGACGACGTGTAGCGAGATGTTAATATTTCCTTTCATGTTTTCAATCGCTGACGCAAAGCAAACAAACAGATTGCAGACAGTACACTGGGTTTGTAAATCCAAGTGAACGGGCGTGTACAGATAGACAGGGGCTATTAGATGTGATGGAAAAGTGGTCAACTCCACGTCAAGTGAACTGATTGGGCGAACAACGTTTGGGTGCACAGAACGGGATGATGTAATCGGATTAGGAACGCTTCATTTATTGCGAACAGTTTTGCATTGATTTACGTAACAACGGTTTGGAAGACGAATCGGGATTAATTATGTTTTTGGTTGTCATGGTACGTTTTGCAATTGATGACCCCGGGTTAAGTGTGACCGCCTGATTACTGGGATAGTGTTCGGCCATTCACTGTGATAATTGACGGTTCTGCCTATGTATGCGTTACCGCAATTGCAGGTGAACTGGTACACAGTGTGTGAGGCAGAACTGAATTGCCAACCATGTACACTTATGTTCAAATCGATTTCATGCGTAGAGACAATGAGTCGAAGTTAAGCAGCGAGAAATGTGCAGTTCACTACAAACTTTAACTTCTGGCGCATGTCAATCAGAAGGTGATCGCCCTTAAAGAACAGTTTGATGTAAACGGCTTTCTGGGGAACAGCTGGGGATGGGTTACCTTTTAGAGATGGTTCAATGTGGATAGAAATATATCCTTCGGCGTAATCCTTTCATAGCAACGGTTTATTCATTAATTCTTCTTATTTTCACAGTGTGTTCTGTGCGCCAAAAGGTTCACTCGCCGTGGGGTTGACTTGTTGTTTTTTAGTTGTAATAGCCCCTTTCTATCTGTCCGTTCACTAGGGTTTACAAATCCAATGTGCTATAAATGTGCTTGTTTGTTTTGCGTCAGTGATTGAGAAGATTAAACTAGATGTAGACATCTCGCAGTATATGTTTTCTTTCGGTCTTGATGCAATGGATAAAAAGACCCAGTGTCTCAAGTTTCTAACCTGATGTAGCCCATTTCCGATTGTTCAAATTGTGGTTTTGCAGATTTGAAGTTTATATGTCGATTGTGAAAAGTTCGATAGCCTCGGTGGGATTCGATTCTGATTAGCCTGGGCTTGGCTCTCCAGCTGGGTAACCCTAATCTACAACAGATCCTCCTCTCCATCACGAAAAGAATTTTTGACTCGTCACAAAGCACCCTTAATCGGTGCATGCAAGGCTTTGGACTATTCTACTGGTTTAAGGGACAATTCACGTTACCCGTTCTGACCTCTTTAAATTCAATTTTCATCAAGACAAATACCACGGCCGAGTGAAGACTGATCAGTAATCAGTGAGAAAACAGATCGACTGTAGTGATATTTTGTTCTGCGCTCCATATTTCTGTTCATCTATTGTTTTGCCGCATCGGAGACTATGGAATATTTGAGGGAATCCCACCAGTTTTGCAATTGTGAATATAGCGAAAAGATTTTGAACTGAACCCCGTTACGCTTTTTCTACTTTGCCCATCTCCTGTACACAATAACCTTACTTAATCCAATAGAGTTGAACAGATTCCTTTAGTTGATCCCGAGTTAACTTGATGACGCGGTTGTAAAGTGGATAGCTATTTGGACAATACGTCGTTATCCGATCAATATCCACTAAGCAGGTGACATTACTTTGACTGTAGTATACGGCTCAAAATTTGAATTGCTAACAATGCAAAGCAGTAACAAATTGCTTGGAAATTTCTTCATTTCAGTAGAAACACTGGGTTGTTCATTCCACTCGTGTGAGGTCGTATTTTTATTCACATTTCATGAATTTGCTCAGCAAGGCACACATTCGAAGACTGTATTCTTCTATACTGCAACTTCCCTCACTCCCATCCCATCCAGCAGCCGGATTGTATCACAATGATCCGTGTCCTAAATCGGGTTGAACTGAGAAACGGGTGTTGTAGACAACTCATTGAGAGAGGTTATTGTTTTGCGGATTTACTTCCCCCATTGAATGCAATCAGTTTGACTTGATAACTATCCGGACAGCTTTTATTTTGACTGTATACAAAGCAAATCGTTTTTACGAGCTGTTTTTTCTCCCCCATACGAGGTGACAATTCGCATCGTGTTCTATCTATCCTGTATTCATACTGGGTACAGATGAAAATACGGATTTATTATGGATGTCCTAAAATAGCAATTTACTCAATTGCTATGCAACTTCACTGAATAGGTGTTTAGAACCAATCAAAAATGTACTAGTTATACTATTTATGTTTACTCTTTCTAGATTTGAGTTTCTAGGCGCTGAGGAGTTACATTACAGAAACTTTACTCATATAGAATTTCGCCGGGAGAAAAATTGCTAGAATTTATCTGTATAGCTCAGTTCTACTACTTTGTATTAGTCCCGTTACAGCACGTTCCAGTCTCGTTCAATCGTCACATAATTAATCCTGTTAACCTATGGTGGAGTATGAAGGAAACGTGATCAAATAAGCAATTCCAATCTAGTACTTCGTTCATCTCCATCAGTTCCTCATCTCTCATCTGTGGATTCAAGAAGTTGTCACGCAGCCCCGGGAAACTGTATGTCAGTTTGACGATCATCAAGGTATAGACACCTCGAAGAGGTCAGACGAGCAAGCGTAGCTACCCTTCAATAAGAAGACAAACTCTACCGTCTGCTGAGACAACTGCTGTACTGATATGGATCAATGAATTCTGCGTTCCGTTTACATTTATGGAATGATTGATGTACCCCTAGAGTGTGACCAACAGATCTGCATCTACACACCCAATGACTTGCGCCCAATGCATGTGTGTGTAAATCTTACAGATGTGCCATCTAAAGAAAATCCTTCCCGAGACTGGATGTCTTAATTGTATCAACCTCACACGGTACTTACTGATTTGCATGAAGCCGATTTATCTTTTGCAAATAGGTGCTTAAAATGAAAAATATTGTAAAAAAATTAAACACGTAAAACTTCGATCACTGAAATAAATTATGAGAATTAACGGGTCATCGAAGAATCTCGCACACCATTGGAGCCTCCAGCTGATTAGCCCGGCCTTAGAATAAAGAAGGTATCATTTAAAGTAAATACTACTTATCGTTTGTAGGTCGGGTGCAAAATTCCACCACTCTTTTGAAATTGCCCAATCTTCGCCTTTAATCACTCGTTCAACCAAACAAATGACAATTGAATAGAACAAATAAATTGAGGAAGAACAACAAACATGTATTGCCTCAGGCATTGTCAACGACGAATTACTTCAAAAGCCTCATTTCATGGGGATATCATATGTGTCTGGAGGGTTCGTTTACGTATTGTTGTTGTTAGTCGTGGTGGTATAAAAGCAGCTTGATTTATGCTCCAGATAAGGCCATATATTTTGATCCAAACTGTTCTGGTAGCAGTCGACCGTGGTCTGGCTTCGATCCTTCGGATTGACCGGCGATAACGTTTTGGGCACACTCTGTGCACAAGGGAGACGCAATACTGGAGTTGGAGTGCAGTAGTACGGATAGGTTTCCCGTTGCGAAATCAATCGACCACCGCGAGTGATCGAGCCTGCGGCGGGTAAACACTGTCTTTTCGGATCGTTTGTCGTTTTGTAGTGCTCTCGATAGCTTGACTTGAAGTTGTTTGCATCAAACTCGGCAATTTCGAACGGTGGATTCGTCACCTAATTTTAACGCAAACAGACAGATCAATGGGAGCCAGTATGAACTTCCATTTGTAATAATATACACATAGCTCACTGATATTTGATATGAAGTCAATTTTAAACCTACTTCCCAGTAGGTATTTTGATTCAGTTATTAGCAATGTTAGTGGTCAGCCATGTGAAGTGGGTCAGTCATGTGTAGTACCTAGGTAGTGCCACTCTTGAACGTAACCTTTCCCCGATCTTTAGATAACTAAACTTTTGCTCGCAAGCTGAAAGTTCTCTCCTCTCGAATAAGAAGACTGCGCTACTTTTGTTCTGACTTGTCGGTGGTAGGAGCTTTTATTCAACAATGCGTTCTCTCTCTCTACCTCATTTACTGATCCCTTAGGGTATTCTCTGGTTTGTTAAAGGCCGTTTTCAAGCTCCGGAGGGGCGGTCTCTCAACGGTTCGGCGTGTTTCCCAAGTTGCGTTGTTTGTTGTGATTGATAATATGTATAGTGCCCGTATTGATGCGTGCTTAAAGTTTGCTGACAATATTTTATCTGGTCGCAACCATCCTTTACACATTGACCTGTGTGGATACAAATTCCATCCGCCGCCACTCATCCCATCTCAGATAGCTGATCACGGGATCTCTATTTGGCCCGGATACTGACCGNCTGAGCTTCTTAATACATTTAGTGGTTAGTTCGATTTTTTTCACGCATAATGTCCCGCTTTCCCTTGTCTCTACCAGTATTGTGATGGTGTGCTCTTTCTGACTGAACCCTATTTATCGAATATACAAATATACAGTCAACTTTCAGGAAGTGGGCTGCGGTCATACAAAGGCTGCCTGGGGAAAACACAGATATAGGGAAGACGGGCGGCGGTGGAGCGGTTCGAATCCGAGACACCCAGGTCAGTTGTTAGTGACCTAACCACTCGGACACCATTGTTTGTTAGTCGATCATATTTATTAACCACTTATGCGTCCCCGATTTGACGCAATCCATCTTTTCGACGTCATGGTGAGTTGTTACTGATATCCACTATTTGTGCACATTCTATAGACTAATGGCGAGGAAACTCTTTAGGCCAGATTCAATCATCATTTCTCCTCTAGCTGCGAAACCTGTTTTTGATCCGCATTTGTGCCACTTTGCTTGCGATTCCCGCCTAAAATATTCTGTAATATCTTTTGTAACCGTGAAAACTGGGACGTTAATCACTTTTCCCTCTCGTTTTTCATCGAAACCATGTCTCGCATTTCCCAGTTTCACAAGTTTCTATCCCACGCTCATGTCCCAGACACTCCATCTGTAATGATCACAATAGAATCCTTTAGAATTGTAACGGGCGGTGGTAGCCCGGTGGTAATGCTACCAAATTACCACCTCGGGGGACGTGTTTTCGAACCCCGCCTGACTTTCCCCATGATAGTCCTTCAATTGGCCGCTTTCCCCTTCCTGAAAATTGTATCGTTCAGTGTATTGAATAAAAGGAAGTAAAATCAAAAAGATACAAAAGGAAAGGTTAGATTACACCCAATATTCCATTGGACCGTGTAGATGTACCGGCGTTGATCAAGCTCGTGCACAATCACGCTCGTTTTGGAAATAAATTTCAGTGCTCAATATCTACTTGTATATTGATGTCTATGGATAGAGTGTATTTATTCCTGATTTTATCCCCCCACTCTATCTTCTTAGTTCTCTCATATCGGATCGTGACATCATTTAAAATAATGTGCTGAATTGTATTAGAATTAAATCTAACCCCGAAACAAGCAGTCAGACTCAGAATTTTGCCTATCGATCCAAAATCCTAGACTCTAATGCGAAACTGAATGAGCTCCGATGTCAGTAGCAAACCTGTTAGAAAGGGTTGCGCTACAGGGGGCACGGGAAAACGTAACGCAGTGTAATCCGTGGTCTAGTAATCCAGTCGGACTGTTCACCCTTTATCTGCAATTTCAAAGGTTCGATTCCCGGTTAGGTTTGTCGTATTTGCATTGATCTTGAGAATCAACGAAATCAAAACAACTTTGCAGACCGTTTTCATGATTTTCCCGTCACGTATCCTGTGTTCCTCCCGTGTACGACAGAGTTTAATTTTACAGTCGAATTTAATCCTAAACTATTAAACTGTCTAATTATCATGACCTCTCCATGAAGTTTATGATATCAAGATCCCGGAAGGGTAGGGTTGACCGTGTGAACACTAGACTTCAGTGACTGAGTTAACATCCTACATAGGCACATCTACAAGCACTGAAGAAAAACCCATAATCCGTTTCCACTTACCGGTCTGGCAAATACTTTGGGTGCTATGCGACGAGTAAGCAGCGGGACTCGGTTCGTCGGGGGCAGGTACTTTTGGTAATCTATTTCATAGCTGCTTTTGTTAACCGGTGAGTTTGTTCCACGTTCGGTCTCGTGTATCGAGGTCAAATTCCCCTCCAGTTTCGCATTCACAATCGGTACGGTCGACTGACGACCGGATGAATTCGAGTGGATGCGCTGCAACGGTGTGGGATAGCACTTGCAGGGGACTTTCACGTTCGCGAAATCCGTCTTGTATACTGAATTGTTGGCAAAACCCTGTTCTGTTTTTAGAGGGATGTGTTTCATGGTCACTCGTTGAACCGGTTCTACAAAATGTGCACCGAAGGATCAGTGTACAATGACGTGTAAACATGCATTTTCGAGATCACAATGGACAGTACATCAGAATAGAATGCATCATTATGAATATACCTGTTGCGAAAGACCTACACTCCAAACAGCCGTGATCTAGTGAAGGGTAGGTACGATGATGGGAAGCTTTTAATTCAGGAAAGATTAAACTTCAGTTGTTCCAAAACATTTGTTAGCAACTGTTATCTCACTCGCTTGGCACATTGTTGCCACTTCGAACCTATCTCTCTCTCTCACACACACACACACATAGGATTAGATTCGATTTGCGTATTCAATAATAATTTCGGGTTACCGCCTTCCTATTTTGCCTTCGTTCGTACCGAAGAATTTAGTTAAATGACTTGTACGTGCATTCGTTTTACCTCATTGTTTCTTGGCTTCCTATTTAAACAGTTGAACTTAGTTTTCCATAGGAGATTTAAGAAAACTGAAGTAAGCCTTTTCGTGGATCAATTTCAAAAGGAAAGACCCCGTTGCAATACTGCACGATTTAGGTCCAGGACGATTTTGCTGCATGTTAATATTGGTAAAAACCGCGGAAAAGGATCATGTCACCAGGGTAGGGAAGGACCAACATGAAATTCTTCTTGTTGACACAAACAAAGCCTCTATCGATTAATCACAATTGCCTTGGCAAACCTTAGCAATCTTGCAACTCGCGACTTGTTGTATTTCGATTGATCTGATGTTGCGGCATCAGCAGCTGTCGAGCCATGGCTGAGGGCGGGGTCTTGTAGTTTTGACTGGTGTTTCTATGCAACAGATTTGACCGAGGTTACTCACTCCGAATTGGGCTGTATCGCCGTGTTCACACATTTTCCCGCCATAAATGTTTTATGTAACATCACTCTGTGTATGCATGACCTATGCAGACGCGAGTACGATCACATGTGAGCCGGATCATCATGCATCACAAAATGTGGAATTGGAATAGAAAGCAGTTTGCACAAGCATTAACCGTGCGGTTTTACTGGCCGATATGGGGAAGCGCGCAACGGTGAGATCTGTTTTGACCCATCCCGTATGGTTCCTGACGGTCAACAGTTTACTTCCATAGAAAAAAGCGATATCAGCACTTTTGAACATGAAATTGTAATTTGAGAATCTTATCGCTGTATTACCACTTCGGGACCTTTGTAATACGGTTAGATAATATGTATCGAACAGTTTCTATCATCATTCCGTATAATTTCTCACATAAAATGGATCCGTCACAAATTAAAATTTCTCTTTTGAATAGTGCATGCATTTGTGTGAAAATTTCAAAATGCGAGAAAAACATCACCTTGCTTCCGCAGCGTGTATTTCTCATGCAGAATGAATGTTCACTTTCGGCAAACTCTTGGTATTGCAGGCTATCTCTAGCCAGAGATGTTTCGCACAGACTTTGAAACTTCGCATCATACAATCAGGATTTTTTAATCATGGCGGAATTTTTGTTCATGACGAATGATCATATAGGACAAGGAAAAGCTATCCAATTCCGTTTACGGCAACTTGTATTATCAGCGCGTATCTTCCAGAACTCAAACTGTGAGCCTTCGGGTTGAGAGCTGGTCAATTATCGAAATAGTCCCACAGAGCACAGTTCAAACAAAACAACCGAGTGACAAACAAGTTCGTTTTCAAATATTCTTATTTATGTCAATACACATCAATATATATATATATTATATCACGATTTAGAAATAAAACTATCTTGAGAAAATACGATCATATCACAGATTACTAGAACCCCGACTTTATCGTGAAACCGGAAATTGGATTCACAACGATCACATAGTTGTTTATCCACTCGTGAAACGGCACGAGGATATCGTGGATAGGCCAGAGAAGTGTTAGCGCTGGCACAAATTGATTTTGGGTACACGGGGAGAGGGGTTGTGCAGACGAATGAATGCCAACCGCTTCAGCCGTAGTCAACATCTGATAGCAAATCTGTCTCGATAATCGTTTGCAAACTTCCCTGTCTAACTCCCTCCGCTCATCCACCCACCCACCCCCTACACACACACCCACCCGTATTACGACGGATCTCGATGATCGGATGATTTGGTCAACTGTCAGCAGATAGAGCGCAAAGTTATTTTGGTTCATAAACTGTCGAATGAAATGGTTAGTTAAATTTGGCATCAACTGGGCACTGGTGACCAATTCCAACCGGGATGTATGAGCTTCTTGGAGCTCGTTTGAGACTCACATGTCAGGCGTTTTTTTTCATTGCGACTGAAAATCACATAACTTATAAGGCGAAAAAGAAGCCCCGTAAGTTGAAACCAAAGGCTAAAATACAGTAAGATCTGATTCAGAGTGCCCAGTGCACCACTCATAACTAACTGATTATGGTGAAACTTGCAAGGGACACATTTGGACGTGGTACTGCTTTTCATTTGGAAAACCTAATATGAACGAATGCTGTTTTCAAATGACTACCTAATCTAAATCCTGCATTAGCATGTCTGAATTTATTTTCCCTGGGTTTGGCAGTCTGAAGCATGTAGTCCCAAGTTTCGGAGGGGATAGATTAGAATCAGCGAATCTATATACTACCCGGTCGTGGATAGTTGAAAGGCTGCTCAATTGTCCCAGCGTGGTCGTGTCTCGGGCACTGCTTCACTCAATGAGCAGCAGTCACGGAAGATCAGAGCGGAATCCCCGAGGATGTTGGCTGCTTTTCGCCAAATCCGGTGATCTCCTGTGTATCTCTTTTGAAACTACCAGCAGAGAGTCTTAAAAGACCCCTATAGAGAAACATTTCATCATTAATATTTAGGTACCTTGCAAGTAGTACTGGAGTATGCAAGGGTTAGGTTTGCGTGTCCCTAAGCAACCGGGTTCATAGGTACTATATATTTCATTACATCATAATCCCAAAATTTTTCAGAGATTTAAACACGAGAAGCAAATTATCTCAAGCTAAAACATTAAGTTTTCAACTGGACTCAATTGAACAGAACGTGGAAAGTATAACAGCATCGATTAGGAGGAACAATCGGACCAGGTTATTGATCCATCCATCACTGTGAATAATTCGTACTGTTGCAATAAAGTGTTAAAATCCAAAGGTCGAAACAAGTTTGTACAAGATAGAGAAGTTTTAGTCTAGAATGAACCACATAGAAAATCATTTCAACCCCCCCGTTTGGGAGTCCGTAGATGGAATGATCAATTGTAACTCACCAATAAGTATCCAAACGGAAGGATTTTCAAAGGATACATTACATTATTTTCAGCCACACGAAATATATCTTGTATCAGTTTGAATCAGATTGCCTCGCTGTGCAGCCCAGACAGAAAAGTTGTTCCATTCAGCCCTGGTCTACGAGACAACAGTGATCAATAAACAAATCAACCGCATGGTTGTGTATTCCACTGACCTCACTGCACATCTTTTGTTAGTTTTCAGCTTCTTTTGAGCCCCTCATCGATGTTAGAGTGACTGTATCTCTTTTTTTTGGATCGATAACCCAGGTCAAGTAAGTTCATTAAAATCAATCCTGAGGATAAATCCTAATTAAATGTACGCTATCGGAAATCTATATCCTTATGAAAGCAATCGGTAATCCGTCGACAATTAGAGCCCAACCAGTTGACGGAACTACTGTAATGCTGTGTGTGTTCAAAGCACGTTAGAACGATGATCTTTACACGGTGAAAATCGTGGTTTAACACTCTACACCCGAAACGAGTACCAAACGTGAGTTATTTCACACAATTCTCACCTTTGGTCCACCTGAAAAACAAACTGTTCAAAATTTGTTGATGAACTTCGATCAGTCGCCTCCAATATCATTTAGGATAATCCAGTTGTGTGTGCTACGACAGATCGAATTTCGGTGTGTAAACTCAAGATGATATTTCGAACCGCTTCACTGACACACCTGTTTTGAATCCACCGCTACTAGTGAACGCGTGTGAAATAAAACGATCTGTTTGCATATTTTGGTTAGAGTCCGATTCAGTGTGCATTTTGAGAGCTTTATTTTGACTTATTCGGTATGTAACAATTTGCGTTGGGACTTGTGAGGAATCAATAATCGAAAACCTATTTTGCAGAATGAAAAGTTAAAAACAAACCGAGTATTGTACTAAATACTTTTTCTATTCGTATTCTACACTATAGTATTCAGTATAAACAAAGAGAACAAATATAGGGTAACTGCAATAAACCAAACGAAGCAAGTTGTAATGTAAACTAAGATCGGTGTTGTGAAACCGCCGGCAAAAATGACCAGCTTGGCGAAGGTTGTAGTGTTCCATTTCGCCTGTTCGCCGAGCTTGGCAATTTGTTTGCAAACGTTTCATCACCAGCCGAGGTGACATCATCAGTGCTTGTGAAGTGGCAGTGTTCTACCTGTACCCGTTCGTTTATATATGCGATCTTCTCCACCGGCTATTTTCGTCCCCTGTTCTCGTTGTGTTCGACTCGGTCCGCCGTTGAACTGTTGCGAGCGGGTGGGGGTCGGAGGGGAGGAAGTTGTCCTTTCGTCCCGATTGCGGTTTTTGTTCGTTCTCAGCTCACGGCGTGACCTTTGTTGCGTCATTTGGTCCTTCAGTTGCATTGCCGTGTACACGTGATCCAGTTCGATGTGCCTGTTTATTGAGTTGGTTGAAGAGTGCCAGGCCTCGAGAAATTCTCTGGCGTGTTTTGACCGGGCTTGGTCGATAATTCTCACTGATTCGAAATCAAATTGATGTCCTTCTTGATCTTCGTG